TATTTTATGAATATAATTAATATATTTCCTATAACAAATAACATAAAATAATTTACAATGGTTTCTTTCACACTTTGTATATTATTTAGAAGATTCAATATTAATTAACATAATAGACCATACGTATATTATTAATGTAAGAACATGTCTAACGTTATTTAAAAAAAATTATTAAAATCAGGAGTTAAATGATTTAACATTTTACGAAGAATATATCAAAGACATTTATTATCTCGTGAGTGTGTATACACATAAATATAGCATAAAAACCATTGAGAAATGAGTTATAAAAATAATATGATAATTTTATTATTCTTCATCTTAATTTAAAAATTGTTTTTGAATAAATACAGTAATATAAGGTGTACTAAAAAAAAACTATTTTTAATATATCTAGGAGTATAACAATCAGTGTCACAAAGGTGCTCATATGAATTCTTTTGTTAATGTATAAAATTTTAAAGCTCTATAAATGTTCTACTATAGAATAGCATATGCAATAGCTTGAATAATTTATTATCTATCTATAGATATATCATCTTATTTTCACTTACACTACCATTTACAGTTATGTTATTATTACTGAATGATTCTTTATTATTGCATTCAATTTAAATATATTTTCAGATTAAATACAATAATATTTAATAGTGCTTTATTTCATTTTCTTTTTTTTGTATATAATATTTTTTATATATATAATTATCCTCATAAATATATGTATTGATTTTTTCACAAAGTTATATAACTAAATTACGTTCATGTACGACTTATTAAAAAATAAAGAAAAATTAAAAGTGTTGTAAATCATATAATCCTAACAATCTAATAAATTATAATTGTTGTAGATCTAAGGAAGCTGTAAACAAGTGTCATTACAACAAAGGTTGTTATTTTACATAATATATTTAATTAATATATATATATAAAACCCTAATTATTTTAGAATGTTTTTTCAATAAATAATTTATATTAGTAAATTAGGTATGTAAAAAAAAGATTTTTACAGATAATATATGAGAAATTTTTTACTATATTAGATAAAGGTCTTGTGTGCTATTATATTTAATGGAAACAGTATGATATATGTTATTTCATTCTTGCACGTAGAAATTATTATAAATATAACACTGTAATTATGTATAGAAATATAATATATTATCTTTTTTCCTAATGTTAACTTAAGAAAATTATAAAATATATAACAACTAAATAAAAATATGTTTACAACTTAATTTAATAATACATAATTATATTCCATTGAGAGTCTAATAAATATTTATTTATATAAAAGAGAACAAATATATAATAACTGAAACGAAATTATTTCTTTGTATATATATATTATAATAATATTAAAACTGTTAAATAAGCAGAAATATAGTATCTTATTTATATCAATATAATCAAAAAAATTATATAGTTATATGTTATTTGGTTTAAGTTAAATTCGGTAATCCCATATACATTTTAATTAAAGTGGTGTTCGTTTGTACACACATAATTAAAATAGTATATTTGTTTAATATATTACTAATATCAATCATTATGTTATTATTAATATTTAATGGAAGTATATATATATAATAAAATTTAGGAAATGCCATTTTTTTAAGAACAAAAATTTAACATTTTTTAGCTTTTTTAGTTATTACATTCAGTCTAACGCAAACATATAATATTATGATAGTTATCAAAAAATATTAAATCTGTTGTCATAAGAGTTGGAATTATATTAAAATAAATACTCATATTTATAATAATATGCTTTAATCCTTAGAAATATTTGTATTATATTTAGAGAAAAGGAAAGTGTAAATTGATATGTTCCTTGTAATTTTTTTACATCCCCTGACATTATGTGACTTGTTCGAAAAACTATTGTTCAAAGATAATGGTTATATATAAAAAATAGGAATGGAACATAAATTTTTCGTTTTTTTGGATAAAAAATAGAAAATATTGCTCGTCTAACAGTGTGAAATCGTCAAAGGAAAAATGACTGTTAGCATAATTATAATAGGTAATATAATTCTGCTTTTGATGAAAAGGTTTCCCCGCCATTATCTTATTATATAGGATAATATATTAATGTTAATCAAATATTCACATCATAAATAATTTTTATAATTTATACTCACACTACAATTGTGGAAATATTTCATTAAATTTTTATATAATTATATCCATGAAAAAAAATTCTCATACCCCACTTTGAGCACGGAGAAAATCTATTATATTAATAAGGAACACTTTAAATAAGTTAAATTTAGAAAAAAATATAATTAAAGGCCATTATATGTACAATTTTGATCATCTAAAAATACCAATTCTGAATCATATATGCAGCTTATAATGGAAATCTTTAGGGGATTACTAATTCAAGTATAAAAGCGAGTTCAATCACAATTAGCGTTAGTGATATAATTAGGTAACCATGTTTTATTACAATTTATTTAATTATATTGATAATAAAAGAATAAAAAAATTATATCTAGCTTAAAATAATACATATTTATAAAAATAGTTTGTACAAAAATAATGATATTCCTGATAACATCAAAATATCTGATAATAAAGAAAAATAAAAAAATTTCATAAAAATTTTTTATTAACATAATGAACAAAGATATTATTGTTTTTCATAATATAATGTAAGTTATTAATCTTTGGAATTTCCATAATGTTTGATATTCACTATATATTTATTAATACTTAATTAATTCTTTCATTATATCTGTAGTGTACTTATAATATTTTTTGCATACAAGAATAAAAAATATATATTTTTTTAAATTATATCATCAATGTTTACAACAATATAATATATATTTGTCTAAAATTAAAAAACAAATATTTTAAATATTTTATTTTTCTTTTGCTTATTTAGTTAACTGTATTATGAACTCGTTATTAAATTAACCAAAAACTATGAATTATACAATAGCTCCTAAATAAGACAATAAACCGATCGTTAATATAAGATTATGTTTTATTAGGTATAATTAGATTTAAAGGTACATTCACATTGATTATAAGCATACAGATAATGTCTATAGCATAAAATATAATTTTATGTTAACAATTAATTAAGCAGTTTTAATTACATATAATATATTACAAAAAAAATAACTTTTAGTACAAATAAATCAAGGAAATATTTCTTTCTATATCAATATTCATCTTTTTATATTTATATATATACATGTATCAATTGTAATTTACTAATAGTATTAAATGTATATTATAAGTGTTTTGTTTTTAATACGCTTTCTTTATGTATTAACCTAGGAAATAAAATAATATCGTAAATAAAAACTTCTGTACATGTTTTAAATTATTATTCTTAATTATATATCATTCAAGTAAAAGTTTTTATATATATATTTATATTATATACAAGAAAATATATATCATAATAAATTAATATATGTTTTGTGGTGCTTATTATTTTACGATATTCTGAATAGGCCTGATTAATGTAATAGATGAAAAATTAACTTCTTAACAAGATAAATTGTGAATAATACAAAATTTCAATGCACAAAGGAAATACGGAATTTAATATATAATATTTTCTGAAATATTCATTGCATTTATTTTTTTATGAACTAATAAATTTCGCAAAAATAATAAAAATAATGCTTTGTTATTATTATGCTACAATGTGATATTTTTTTCAGGCATAGTAATTTTCTATTTATTCTTTTTTAAATTTAATAGTAGATTAATTATTCTTTTAAAATATATGTTTCAATAACTAGTGTGTTAAGTTCAAACTAGAATACTACTGTTCTCCATATAATATATTTATTATATATATATGGAAGATGAAGATTAATATTTAAATGAAATAAGCTGTTATAAGCTAAAAAAAATTTATATTGTACTCACATAAATACATAAAAAATATAGTATACATATTATTAAATATATACATAATTAAGTATACAATGCCCAAAAGAAATTATTTTATATGCAATCATTCTAATTTTGCAAAATGGTAAATCGTAATTTTGTTTCATATTATGAAAGAAAAAAAAAATGATAAATATATGATCAAAGAGTAATAGAACGTAATTACATTCTGAAAAATTATATAATGAATATATATATACTATAAAAATAATTTTTTTTGTAATTTTATGTTTATTATTTTATTGAGCATACATGTTATTTGACACAATAACAGATGTAATGTCAAAATAATAAATAGTGTCTACTCTTTGATATAATTGGTGATAATAGTTTTATCATACATATATATGATAAAAATGTTACCTCATTATTACCTTATATTTAATATATCACAAAAGCTTGTATTTCTATTATATATGTGAATTAGAAATACATAAATAAATATCTATATATATAATTATATTATTAAATTACATTGAATCACATATCATATTATACGTTATATAATTTTGGACAATTTATATAAGTTGTATATCTCATTTGAATATATTTCATTTATATAAAGATAGATCGTTTATTAAGGACCTATATTTTATAAATTATAGTAAAAGGAATAATAAAAAATAATCCTTCATTCATGAACACAAACATGATCACTAAGTACCAAATATGCTATATCATAAACGTTAGAGTTTCGTCAAAAATTAATAACATATAAATAGTTATGTTATTGTAAGTCCATTATTAATATGTATACATATAATATATAATTTTTTATAAAGTATATAAATTTTATTATTATAATATTATAGATATACATATATATTACCTTAGAATTATCATTTTTTATACTTAAAGTATATAAATAAAACTTTTATATTGTGGTAACTTATAAAATACTGTTAAATTTAAGAAACATTGTTACAATAGTAGGATATATTCAAAAAAATTCTTAATACATTAAAATTAAAAGAAATATTGTAAAATTTTAAAGATAACATTAATTAATATATATATTGTCAAAATAATATTATTCTTATTTTTTGTATTTTTTTCTCATAATAACACGAAAAATAAGCGAAATGAACATGGAAAATGAAAATGTATGATATTAATTCTTAATAAATTTACATATTATATTACTTGATTCAAAAATATATATATATGAAAATTAATTTGAAAAAGATTGCACCATATATTTTATCTACACGAATTGTGTATATTTTGTCTGTTATTTTTAGCTTCATCTTGACCATATATTTCCCCAATGTAGAGATGACTACAAGAGAGCTCAAATTATTTATCCTAATGGTTCTCGGATAAACACAGATTTGGGATATGCATGTGAAGATTTTAATAAAGAAATAGCTGTATTACCTTGGAGTCATTATCAAGTTGATTGTGTAAGTATTGGTAGATATTTGCATTTTATAAAAAATATTTCAAAAAATAAAAAATCACACTGTAAATATTTCAATTATATCTTAATGCATAAAATATTAAGCAAAGGAACAAAGTGTTACAATGCAATTAATTGCTATAATAAAATGATAAATATACAAAATAGAGGATATGATAGAATACCAAATGTGTGCAAAGATTATGTTGAACAACTTGATGGAAAGGAATTTAGAATATTTCATGATCTAGATCAACTATATATGAATTTTGAAAAAGTAAAATTATATAGCACTAAATGCCGAGTTGCTGGCTTTTGTTATAATACATATAAATCACTCCTAGAAAGGAGTCGACATATTAATATAGATGGTTTTGATAATGCATTGAAAGAATTTAAATATAAATATGAAGAATATATGAAAAATGTATATTCTTGCGGAAATGAACTTAAATTATTATATTCATTCCCTGAAAGAGATGTATCCATTACAACGAAAACAGATAAATCATCAACAACAGAAAAAATTCCAAGGACACAAGAAGAACAGTTCAAAGAAACCATGTTAGATACATCATCGGTAGCAGAAGCCATTACAGAGATTGATTCCGAGATAAAATCAGGTATACTTGTTTTAGTCTTTGCTATATTAATAGTAGTATTCATTCTGTGTAAGGTTAAAAGTAAAACTATTTTAATAAATGCACATATTAGTAATAATTATATTAAGCATTATTCGCATAATATAATATAATATTAATAAGATATATATAAAAATATTACATTGTTACTCCATTTTTCAGTATACCCCTTATTTTTCATGTTTGAAACCAAGATTAGGTATATTAAATAAAAGGTTAAATAGAGAGCATACAGAACGTCATAATTTAATTGATTCATTTAAAAAGGAACTCAATCCTTTAAAAAAAAGTAATAAGCACCAAATTGCATATAAATTAGAACATTATTGGTAATATACATATATTAAAATTAATGAGTTTGTTATAATTTTTCTTAATAACATACTAAAATGTTAAAAAAAAAAATTAATCATAAGGGTGAAAAAAAAAATATATTACATAAATGAATTAAAATAACGAAAAAAGTAAAACTATATTTATACTGCTTTTTGTAATTTAATCTATACATTAAAATATAAATATTGAAATATTTCCATATAATAAACTATCTAAATCAATGTTAACAGCCACAATGAATGTATAGAGTTCAGTTATTCAAAAATAGTATTATTAATTTTTTATTCACTTTTCAGCTTTACTTTTTTTTACTTTGTATATGTTCTGTTTTTTTTTTAACTTTGTTATATTCAATTTTTGGTATCACATTTTGTTTTCCACAAAAAATTATAGTTATGTATTAAAATGATATATTTTATTAATATGAAATATATAAAAGATGAATGCACGATACACAAAAATTATTTTGCTTATACTCAATACATCATGTATGTATAACGAAATAAGTATTCATAAAATTATTTCTTCTATACATATTTTCTTATATTTTACATGCATGTATATTATACATAGATTTATAATAGGAATATAAAATTAATTTTTTATAAATTATGTTTATATTTTTCTATGTATATATATAAATGTATCAGAAGTGCTGTAATATACATAATATATATACTCTTAGTATGTTATTGTTTTTTTTTATGCATATCCTTTTACCTTTCCAATAATGTAAACATTGTATAGAAATATATCATATAAATACTATATTATTGTAAATAATTTATTTGTATTAATATTTCTTTGAAATTTATTCATTTATAAATTTTTTTTATATTTTTTCATATATATAGCTATATGCTACTTTTTTTTTTTAATTCAAAAAAAATTAGGTTTTCTCAATGATAAAGTTAGCCTATTATATGTAAAATAAATATAATTAGAACATGTTCCTAATTACGCAAATGAAAAGCAATATATATATAAATATTTTCATTGCTACTTTTTAATTCAAAATATAATCACATTATATATGTAGTAATAGTAAATTATTTTCTTGAATAATTAACGAATATGAAATATGTATATGTTAAATGTAAATCTGATATATATGTCATATAGATACGTTAAAATAATCTAGTATAAAATGATTTTAATTTTTACAAAAATTGTTTTATATCGAAGATTGATTTATTATCCACTAAATGATAAAAAGTATATTAAATAAATTATAATATAAATAAATGAAAACTGATATCTCAATCATGTAATTATTATAAATGTATAAACATATTTCTCATTTATAATGCTTATTAATTTTCAATAAAATAAATAACATATTTATTATATAAAATACTTGTTATATGCAATATTCCTTTGGTGTTTCTAAAATATGTGCAACCTACAATTGTGTTAGATTAAAAAAAAAGTTTTTTTATAATTATAATTCGCATTGCTATTAATTCATTAATAAAAGCACCTAAGATATTATAATTTATTTGTTATTGTATAAATTAAAACATGTGATAAAAAAAAGTATGTAAAAATTAAAACTTTATTTAATTTTAAAAAAAAGAGTAAAAACAGAAAATATTAAAGTTATAAGGATAATATATAAATACATATTATAAACTATAAGATATATTAAATAAATATGATCTTATAATTAATCTTAATACATTAAGAACCATAATTATATGTTATATGAGATATATATTAATTGCATATTCGCTCTAATTAAGAAATGATATCAAAAAATGCAAATAAAAATAAAAAACTAATAAATAGTTCTTAATATAACATATTTTAAAATGTAACATTATGATTATTGTAAAAGAGAAAATTAAAATGTGTTAATAATTTGAGGTTCCCTCTTTGAAAAGGAGATTCTACTTCATGTTTATTATAATGTTACAACCCATATAGTTCATTCTGTTTTAACTGTAATATATTAGAAATAGAAAATTTTATGTAATATATTAAAACATACGATAAATCATTCCAATATTAAATTATGTGTGTGTATATATTAACCCAAGAATATTTTAATAGTATTCTATAAAAACATATGCAACTGAGAAAAAAATACATACATTACGATTATTATTCTCAGTTACATAAATTATAAACTAATTCTTGTAGTCTTACATTATTATTATAATTAACGAAAACTTAACAGGATATATATTTATTATAATCATGTTCTTTAGGTTTAAAATTATTTTTTTAGGATTATAGTATTTATTTTACTATGTATATTTATTCAATTTATAAACATATCATAAGCATAAGATAATATTTCTTATTATCTCAATAAGTCCTTGCATTATATTATTAGTCAACTACATATTATATTGTTGGAATACATAGTAGTAGAAATATATATAAAAATCAATGCAATTTTTTTTTTGCATAAAACATGATTATAGTGTAATATTTGTTATTGATGAAATTTCTTAATATTAAATTTAGAAATCACTAAATACACAATGCTTAAATTTTAAAATAGTGCAAAATAATATATAATATATGGAAATTATATTTTTATAAGTCATAAATATATGGATAATATTGATATATTTTTTCTTTTTGAAATACTATATTAAAACTATTTCTCATTTTAGATAACAGAATCATTATAAATATAAACTCAATGAACTACAATAAAATGATTATATAAATAATGTATAACTATTTTATGATAATTAACTATTGTACTACACAATATACTATATTATTTAGTCATATATATGTGTATATTTTATAGATGTGGTTTAATTCATACTCATAATAACATTTGTTATATGATTTACATGCAACAAATTTCTCTGTAACATATGAATAATGATTTAGTATATGTAAATATTATACATAAAAGATATATTATATTTTTAATAAATTATTTTTTTTATTATACTCTTGTTTCTTCTTCCTTTATAGTTCTGCGTATATGTTTTTATTTTTTTTTTTTTTTGTTCTATTTTTTTTTTTTACTTAATATATTTATTATGGTTAAATAAAATTTAATAATAAAAATATATTTCAATCACATTACTTATATTTGTTTTCATTGATAGAAAATTGTAATAAAAATATATTTTTTGTATGTTATAATGTGTTACAGGATGATTATTCTTTATTTATATAATTTTTACATTTAATGGAATAAAAATGAAATAACGTAATTTAGCATTTATTAACATTTATTATATTTTTTCATAAAAAATATAATTACATAAAACTTTAATGAATATATGCTAATCCTATTAATGAAGTTGATAATTTAACAATAGTAAACATAATAAAATAAATATATATTTATATATCCTGAATATATAATAAAAAATATTTTAAAAGTTATGACAAACATATAACTATATATAAACATTGCAATATATGCTTCACAAATTTTTATTTGAGGAATATATGTAGTAAATCATATAATCATTTTATATTATTACTTTCAGAAATGTTTTATTATGTAATGAATGAAAAAAATATTATAATATAAAAGATGATAATTATATCCTTATTTTCTGTGTCACACAAAATCCTTTAATTTTTCATTCTGAGTTCTAGAATATGCCTTCTTTTCAAGGACAGTATAATGATGATAATAATTATAATAAGTTTTTAAATCTGTGTAAAATATATATTTAGTTAATACGTTAAATTTGTTAAAACATATAACTGCCTTGAACAAAGGAAAAAGAAATAATATATAAAATAGAATGAGACACAAGCCTTAATATTATTTTAAAGATATAGACTTGTTAATTTCAGACTGAGATTAAATTATATAAATTTATTATATTATAAAATTAGTAGTACATAATATGTATGATATTCATTTATCCTATTTAAAATTAATTATAGCATATTATATATATTATATTAGCATTAGTGCATCATAATGTATATAATAAGACTTTTTACTTAACATATACATGAAAATATGTTTTATAATATTATACATATATACTTGTATAATGTATAAATATATGATTATAGCATATATATTAATATAATATAACATTATAAAATCAGATATAAAAAAATTATTAGTTATATAAAAATGATTGATTATTAAACATTTAGTATCGATTATATGCATAGTATGTGCACATTAATAAAATTAATATTATTATAATATATTAATTTTTCATGTGTGATATGGGAAATTTGATTTATTTAAAATAAATACATTTAGAAAACAATAAACGCTAAAATATGTTCAATGAGATATATAACTAAAATATAAATGAATATAAATTCAAAAAATCTTCATATACGTACATTTTTTCTGTACAATAACATTGTATTAAATTGTAAGATGGAAACGAATATATTTTTTGAACAAAAATTTGCACTAATTGGATCATTATGCATGATTATTTATACTATGTTAATAATATATAATGAAATTAAATATATTATAATTAAATTATATGATATTTTCATATTATATGTAAATTATATATATGTTGTTATTATTATTCCATATTATATATAATGCATACCGTATTATATTTAAATATGAACCTCTATTTTCGTACATTATTTTTTTTTTCTTGAAATAATACATGTATATTACCAATATCATATTAGTACAAATAATACAAAAGATTTTTTAAATTTATGTAAATCAAACATAAGTACCACTTAGATTAATATTTTAGAAATAAATATAAATCCTTATAATCCTTACATTAATGTCTCTAGCATTGATATATTGGAATTATAATGAAAAACAATTGTTATAATATTTATGGATGGTTTTACCTTTATTTATATTATCAATTCTATTTTATTCTCATTAATTTTGGTTTTAATGTATAAACTTCATATAAAAGAGTCAATTTAATTTTTTTTATTCTATATATATTTTTTATATATATGAATAACTGTAGCAATATTTATGAAATATCCTGTGTGTGTAATGAAAGATAATTAGGAAAAATTTTAATGTGCTTAATGAATTTTAAAAAGTAGAATTAACATATAAAATAATTTATTAAATAGATTATATATATTTAAAAAAATATATACTTAATATGAATGTATAGAATTGTAAAACAATTTAGAAAATATAGCATTAATTTAATATGATATATTAAAAGCCAAGATTTTTAATATATATAGAGGCTTAAAAATGGTTGATGATTACACTGAAAAGAAATATTTAAGCATCATGAAAAATTAAATAATCTTAGGAAAAATATCGAATTACTGTTATTTTTTTTAAAATAATAAATTTTTAAATATGCGTTCATCATTTATTTTATATCATTTTAAACCTTTGCTTAGAATACTTAATCTTATTATATTATTGCGTTTTAAACATGGGTTAAATTATTTTTCTACCAATAAATAATCATTAATTCCATCAGGAAGTATGCAGGATTAAATGTTGTTTTAATTTATTTTATTGCAGTTATATTTTGTTTACAAAATTTGGTTGTATAATCAACAGTACATATATTTCATTGTTTCTTACAATCAATTCAATACTATTATCAGTGGGGGTTTATTTGTGGAAAAACCTCAATAATTTGATGTAGCTCCTAGTATAGGAAATATGAAATAAATGGAATAACACTATTTTAACAACGAATGTTTCAATAAAATATAAGACAACAATATTCTACGTGGTAGTACTTTTAATTAACATGCTTTTTTTTTTACTTATTATATAATATTTTATTTAGAAAAAGTTATTATTTAAATTATATATAATATATTTTTTGTCATGTACTTTATAACAGTTTTGCAAAGGTACAATATTTCTGTGTACTATATAAATCATTTGCAAGTAAACTAATATTATACTTCAAGAATTATAAAATACACATTTTTTTTTTATTTGGCTAATTTAATTTTTTCATAATTATTTAACTCAAATATATACTTCATTTATGATAAAAAAATATTTTTTTAATATATATATGAGAATTTTCGTAAAATAGCATATTTGTATTTTCTAATTGTTCTATTTGTATACTATTTTTTTAGGCAAAAGCATCGGTTCAGAAGTAATTATGATAATCAGAATATATAATTACATTTAATTGTGTTCTATGTAGATTATATATTATTTAATTAGTATATTCCATAATATATTAATAATAAGGATGTTAATATATTTATTTAAAATATAAATGTCTTTAAACTTTATTTGATACATTGAACAAGATAATAAATATATGGTTCATAAGAATTAAATTATATTATTCTTATTATAAATTTAAATACATTGAATTAATATTAAAACTACTTATTTTATTATACTAATTTGTATATAAAACAACACAATCATGCATGAAACTCTTTGGTATTATAATTTTTTTGTACTCAGAGTATTATATTTACATGCTTTATTTGAATTATTCGATATATACATTATTTGTTATAATGTGACAAATTAAGATATAATTTTTTACTCTTTTTGAACTATTTATATCTACATAATTGTAATATTAATAAAATTTATATAATGAAGATACATTTGTTATTTTTATACTTTAATAATATGTAATTCATTATTTTCCTTTGTATATATTTATCATATATCATAAATAAAGTAGACCGTTATATAATATATTAATTTCCTTATATAGTGTATATATCTTTTCCTTGCAAAGTTATTTAAAATGTTTTATATATATTATATTAATTAGGATAAAACTGCATCTTATAAACTTATTCTGAATTTAATGAACTATTATTTTGAACTCAATATTTGAATTTTTTAATTATATAGTATATATTTATACTTTTTTTATGTCTTATTTTTAATTGTTTAATATTACTGTATACATATACCTTCATTAAGAGTGCAATATTTAAAGTTGTATGTGCTAGAGTATTTTACTGTTTTTATATATAATAAAATACATACTATATTTGATGAAAAATATAATAGTGTATGCTTATTTCTATTTTTTATTAAATAACCATGTATAATAAAGTATTATATGTTTGAATAAAATAATATGTTAATTAATGTAAATATAGTTTTTCAGCTTTACAAACATTATTTAAAAAATTTTGTAAATAAGAATAACACTATAGGATAAATAAAATTATATGTAATACACATTTACATATTTCTTAATATAGATTAAGACATATGACGATTTGCCTAAGCATTTTGCAGGTTATAAAAATTAAGCACACTGATTTAAAAAGAAAAAAAGGGAACTTCAAAAAAATCAAATAAAATGAAATAAAAATATTTAAGATTAAATAATATATTATAATTTATACACCTTCACAAACTAAGGAAATAAATGTGTAATTAAATTCACTGTATCAGTGTTATAAATGTAAGAGACGATAAGATGAATAGAATATAACCATGTATACGTAAATACATGATAAATTATTATTTAATATTATTTATTATCATATGAAATTATTACATGTTAAATTTTTTTTTTTTTTGTTTTTATATAATATAATATGTTGCATAAATAAAAATAAGTTAAACAAAAAACATTCTTTTATTTTATAAATTTGTAATATTTATATACATCAATGAAATAATATATTATTATTTTATATTGATTAAGCATATATATATGAGTTTTTGTTAAGAAATTTTTTTTTTTAAATCAGGAAGAGCATGGATTTTGCTCAGAGAATTTTAATTCAATATTAATATAGTTAGAAAATAAGAATTAGTATATTATTAGACTATATAATTTAAGTCATTGTCTTATTTAAATTATGAAAATTTTTTATTTTTAAAAATTACAAGAAATTTCATTTTCTATGAAGTTATTAATAAAAAGATTATGAATAATACATTTATACAATAATTTATAAATATCTTGATGATAATAATTTATTCTATTTATATAATTAATAATAAAATTCGTTAAGATGATTTAATATATTGTATCTATTATAACTTGAATCTCTTCTTCGCATTTCAGATTCGGATGATATACTCAATTTATTTTTTATTCTTTTTATTACTCGCTGAAGGTTAGAACCATATTTTGTGTTCTAAATTATAGAAAAAAATATGCATTTATTAAGAATTTATTTTTTTATGGTAATTTCATGTGGTTTTAAATTATTTTTAAATTTTACTTTATAGAAAAAATATTTATAAAACATATCATAATTAACCTTAAACATAATAAATAAAAAAGTAAGTGTAATCACCATTGCGAGTACTGTAATAATAATAGGAGATTTAATATTACTTGGACAACGTATTGTTTCCATTGGTACCGTGTGTGTAACAGCATGTGCTTTCATTTCTGTATTATAATTTTCTACTAATTTTTTTATTGCAACACAAAAATAATCGTCCTCTCTAAGCTCATTGTCATATTCTCCTTTAATACACTTATACACATCATATAAATGTGATATTTTGATCAAATCATAATCAGTAATAATATTCTTATAATCTTTGCATAAATTATCGAACCCCCCTAAATCTCTTCCATATGCATTTAACACTTGATATAACATACTTTTGACGTCAACAAATTGATTTGTTTTCTTCATGAGATTGTGATATAGCCAATAAAACAAGTATAAACAATATATATTTTCATCCTCGTAATTATGATTTCTATATTTCCCAGTTATACTTAACATATATGTTTTAGCGTCCAAGCATATATTTATATGTTCACTATTAGACTTATTAAAACCACTTGCTGTAACATTTTTACAATAAAAATCATATCTACTTTTCCCATAACCAATATCATTATACATACGTCTTTTAGGTTCATATAATTTTTCTATATAATCATACTAATAAAAAAAATAAAAAAATAATATTTCCTTAATAAATTATAAAATACTTATAGAAAAGTTAATATACAACAATAATTATTTTGTAATTACTCTTATAAGAATAAAAAAATACATATTTATTCTTCATCTCGGGAAAAAATATAATTTATAGAAGTTAATCTAAATAAAAGGGACTATTTTATGATAGAAAATTTATACATTAGAAAATAAAGATTTGTAGATTGAACTTATATTATATAAAAATTTCTTATAGAAATATTTTTCTATATATGTCATGTAAACAATTAATAATTGTCTTTTATAGAATTTAAAATACAGTGTAATTTTTTTATATATATAATTTATATTAATAATTACTTTTTACAGAATTTAATATATAAATATATTTTTTGGAAAAAGAAAATAATATTGTTTTCTTAAATATAATATTATAGATATTCTTCTTTAAATAAATTGTATAATTTTATACATTCAAAATATAAAAAATAAAGGTATATATAGATAAACTGTGTTATGAGATATAATGTGCAAAAACATAATATTTTGTTATTTTATATTTTATTGTTAGTAATTGCATTTATGTAATAATATATAAAATACAAGCGATTATGTTAATTAGTTTATTAGTTTAATGGATAAACTAAATTCTTTGGCCTTATTTATGATATGATAAAGCTTATTAGCATCAGCTATATAATTTATCTAATATATATATAAATATGATTTCTATATATATTATCTATTTAAAATATTATAACTCTTAACATATGCCTAATGGGAATTTAAATAATTATTCCCTGTAACATAAATTTATATAAATATTATAGATAGCTTTTTATAATAAATATTTTTTCAAGTGAATTCGTTAAATATCATTTGTACACTTATATATATTTTATATAACAATAATCTTGTACTAGGGCTTAGTGTGAACGTAGTGTGGCTTATATTTAGGATTTTAATTTTAACGATTCTATGTGCAATTTTGGATTTTGATTTTGTAATTTTATAATTCATGGTATATCGTTCAATTTTGTATTATAGATTTTGTTATTAAATATTGTGCCATATATTTTTGTGGCATAATACATATAAAGTTGTTTTTTAAATAATTCACTTTACATTAATTGTTATAATTTGAAATATTAAATATATACATTGTTTATATTGGCACATGCATTATAATAATATTTCTTATTATAATTTGTATTATATTTGTATTTGTGAAGTATTAAATTATAGGAATTTTATATTTATTTTATTCATACATAAGTATCTCCATGTTTAGCGAGTATACAAATGGCTTATAATATCTCAGTTACAATATTAGAGTAACTTTAAACAATATAATTCTATTTTTTAGTCATGCACAGTTATGGTTTTCTTATATATATATAGTAAATGTGAGTTATCTGTATTATGATATCTATTCCTACGATTTTGTTTTTAAATATATGTTTAATATACTATACAGAATGTTGCATATTATTTACACTTGAACAATAATATATATCAATTAATTGTAATTTATATGTTGAGTCACGTTCTTTAATAAACCTTTGATTGAATTTAAATAACATTTGATCATTTGGATTTTTATATTAGATATACAAATTGATTTATTTAATGATTCTCTTGAAGTCAATCCTTTTACATGCATATTAATTAATCACCCATCATTTTATATATTTCAGCTTTAATTTAAAATATAATTAGTAACAATATATGCACTAGGTCTGTGAATTTTCCCTGTATTATCATAACATTTATCCATTAAGAAACTTTGAATTACATGTTTTAACTGCCTTTGGATTCATATATTCTTGGTGTAAACCCTTAATATGTTTTATGTTATTCTATATGTTCCAATTATGTCTCATATTCATTAAATTTTTTATATAATTCATTTATTTCCATTGTTATTCCAACAATATTTTTATATTGAGAAACGTTATTACTGCACCTTTTATGTATAATATCCTCCATAAATTTTCCTTATGAATCCTTTATATAAAGTATATGACATATATAATTTTACAATATACATTTTAAGTTCTATCATATTTTTTTTTATATATTTATATAATTCATGAATCTCTTTGAATTTCATTCCATGTTTTTCAAAGAAATTTATCAAAATTTTGTTCAAATTCAACTAAAGAATTCTAAAAACAATAAGTTTATAACTGAGGCTTATAAAATTATTTATTAGTAACTACACTAATACATAACAATCATAATAATATTAATTTTTTTTATTATATTTATCATTCCATTTTTTTGGTTTAAATAAATGTCATGGAAATGTAAATTATTTTACATCAGTATAGATACTTTGAAACGGTAATTAAATATATTTATTGCCTTGACATTGTATTAATAATTTTAGGGAAGTATATAAATTCTTATTCATAAAAGATATAACTTATTACGTATAACATATTATTAGGGAGTTTTTATCGTAAATATAATAATATTTTTATATAATAATATATTCATACATAAATATTTTTAAGGATAACATTGAAAAAAATTATATTTGCAGAGACATTTTTATAGAATTTATAGTAGTATTATGCATTAAATTAATATAAGTTACGATGTATCAAAATATGAAGCTTAGAAAATGAGTTATAATGAAATTTACATAGGTATATAATGTAAATATACAATATGATAAAAAAATAAAATAATGAATGATTAAATATTTTATTCAAATCATATTAACAAATGATATCAGACTTGTTCTACGAATTTATATTTATGTATATGCCTGTATATGTCTTTTATTATTATAGCATAACAAGGCTTATATTTAAATTAGTGTTGATATTCCCTTATAATTTTTTTATAACATGTTTGTATTGAAATGTATTCCTTATGATCAATATAATTAATAAAATGTGGTAAATTCAAATTATGTTACCAAATGAAAAATTTAGTGCATATACAATTGTTTCCTTATTATAATTGTGATATATCTTGACATTTATATCTTTGCATATAAACATATTGAAAATACAATATATAGATTTTAAGGCAATTTGATTTTTTTTTCTAGGTTTATTTGTAATCATATTAATCATTTATCCGCTAAAAGAAATTACAGTAGTTATATCTTGTAAAATAATGATTTATTAACATTTTTGTTCCATGTATAAATTTTTATTATTTATGTAACATAAGGCAGTTAAAGAATATGAATAAATATGGTATAGATACATATACATATGTAAATTTAATTATATATATAATTTAGGTCTTTATTAAAAGAACATATAATTTTTATTATATTTTATTTTGTATGAAAATTTACAGTATCCCTTAAAATTATGGTTATTTCAATGTATTGTGATCAATTAGTATTATGTAATGATATAATTTATTTATAATAATTTTTAATGCTTATACAAGGAATCATTATATAGATGGAAATTTCTATACTAAGCTTCATTTATTTATTACTAATATTTGTAATATTAGTTCTTATATTAATCCAGTAATTTCATTACTCTTTCTTCGGATCTATTGTTAATAACATTACTATTTTCTTCCTTGGTTTCTATATTTTATATTAGGAATCGTTTACATATAACTATTCTAACAGCACTGAATTATTAATTTACTATTATTATGTCAACTCTGCGCAAGAATAACAATCATTTCTTAAGGCATTATTCTTAATTTCTGTTTAATTAATTAAAGTGTATTTTTAATAATACACAATTTTTCACGTATGTTCATTGCTTATTTAGAGGAAAATATATATTTATATATATTTTTATTTCTTTTATGTGTTATATATAATACATCCTGTTAATTCGCATAATGCAAAAAAAGATTTTTATTTTTTATATTTGTCTTTTTATGAAAATTCGGAGTTATTATTATTATATATATGCATTCATTTTATGGCGTTATAATCTGTGTATCCCTTACTTATGTATATAATACTTATTTATTTGAATTTAAAAGGGACAATAGGCCATTTCCATTTAATGCATATTTATTTTAAAGATAGAGTTTTAATATTAAACGCAATTATTTATTGCTGTATAAAATAAGTCAATGATTTTCCATACGCTTTGCAATCTGATAAGAATTTAATGCTGTCCTCAAAAATTCTTTACATATATTTCACAATACAAAAAAAAAATCTTTTGAATTTTATGTACTTTTGCCAAAAATATTAATTAGTTTAACATAAATTTCCAGGTAAATTTGGAAAAAACACAGTTTTTTATATTCAATTTAAAGCCATGGAATTGTCTTAACATGTTACATGCACGATATATTGGGTGGATGTCTGAATTTTGTTAAATATGGTTAACGTTTTTATTAACAGAAATTATAATGCATTTACATTATTTTTTAATGCTATCATATTTATTACTATTAAACATATCTTAATATATCCTAGTAAAAAAAAAAAAAAACGTAAATGTCAGCGTAAGATTACTATAAGAATAAATTAATGTACTTGTACATTTATGTTAAAGAATATTTCACAATATAATGTTCTTACAGAGTGAAGGAATTCTTTTAAGCTTATATATACAACATAAATGTGTTTTCCATAATTTACACAAAGTGCTCAATTGATATATAACTATACATAAGTTAGCTTGTACACATTTAATGCAAACAATACTACATTTTAACCAAATGTTCATTATGTTTACAATTTATTTCTAAAAAAATTTGTTAAATGTACGCTCAATTATATATACATGAAGCTAGGGAATTTAAAAAGATCCATGATTGTTATGTTTAATTTTTTAATAAACAAAATAATTGTGCTTGTTCAGATTCAAATGAATATTAATAAAATGTGCGAAATAATTTTTTATTTTTTAAATAAATTACGTTTATTTCCTTCATGGCTATGTGAAAAAAATAAAAAAAATGAAATATATAGAAAAAGTAAACTTCACGATGTGTTTAGATAATTACAGTAAATAAAGTTCCTTTTTTTATTCTAATACATGTGTAATTTTGATTCATTGTAGTTTTTGATTTATACTTTTTTGTCAAAATAATTAAAGCGCCCTTCAATTATCTATTTATGTTACACAAATAAAAAAAATATAGTTTTTTTTGAATAATTCGCCACAAATTTTTTTTTTT